ATACCGAACCTGTTAATCTCAAGTTCATATGCCTGATGCGCAGTAAACCAACACTGAGGCATAGGTGCTTGGAGGTGGAGAAAGGTTTATTCGAATTGGCCAAAACGAGAAGGAAGGAGCATAGGTTCTCTCAAATCTGCCTTAACAAGAACAGAAAGCAGGGGGTTTATAGAGCTAAGGGGCTTTGTAGGAGGAGCTTTGGAGAAACAAAAGAGGTCACTCTGGATAAGCACCTGGGCAATCTGACGTTTGTTGGTCAGCCGCAGCTGGGGCTGGTCATCCAGTGATTGCAACCTTCCCGAAGGCATTCTCTTTCTTCTGCAAAACAAGCTCACTAATCCTCAGGACCCTTGAGCTACCCCTGAGGTTAAACAAGAAAACAGCAAACTGACAGGATTCATCTGTGTCTGTGTTGAGAACAAGGTCAAAAGGCAGTCACATTCTTACTGAAGATCTACAGTAACCCTCAGGTGCCCGGCCTCATATTGATTTCCACTCCCACCACGTGTTTGACAGTTCTAGTTGCTCCACATCCTTGCCAACACTCAGGCAATTTTAGCCATTCTGATATCTTATGATTTTAAGTAGCGTTTTCCTGATGACTGTTGAGCACCTTTTTAAAGCTTATTAGTCATTTAAATATCTTCTTTTTGAAATTCCTATGGAAGTCTCTTGCCTGTTTTTCTACTGGGTTGTCTTTTTGTTATTAATTTGTTGGAATTCTTTGTATATTGTGGATATGAGTCCTTTGCCAGATATATGTGTTGTAAATGACTTACCCACGCTGTGATTTGCCTTTTTACTATCTTAATGGTTTATTTTGGTGAACAGAGGTTCTTAATTTTAATATAGTCCAGTTTATTGTTTCTTCCTTTTATATTTAGTGTTTCTGTGTCATATTTAAGAAAACTTTCCCTACCCTAGGTTCATGAAGATATTCGCTTATGTTTTTTTCCCAGAGTCTATGTTGTTTTATCGTTCACATTTAGCTCTATAATCTATCTGGAAATGATTTTTGTATGTGGCGTGAGGTAGGGGTCAAGATTCCTTTACTTTTGCAAGTGGGTAGCCAGTTGATCCGTTTACTGAACAGACATTTCTTTCCCTTCTGTACTGTAGTGTCTGCTTTGTCATTCATTAGTGACTACATATGTGTAGGCCTATTTCTGGGCTCTTTTCTGTCCCCTTAGCCTTTACCTCACTGTCTTTCTTACTATGGTTTTATAGTCAGTCTTGATATTTAGTAGTATAAGTCTTTTATTTTCCTTTTTCCAGATTATATTTAGTTATTCTTGGCCTTTTGCATTTCCACATAAATTTTAGAATCAGCTTCTCAATTTCCACACACATGCACACGATCTCCTTGGATTTTGATTGGGATTACACTGAAACTTAAGGAGAATTTCTTTGTGGAAAGCTTTTAAATTATAATTCAATTTCTTTAATAGATATGAGCCTTTTCAAATTTTCTATTTCCTGTCAGTTTTAGTAAGTTATATTTTCCCTCAAATTGTTTTTCAATTTGTTTATTTCATTTATTTTTTTTAAATTTTTTGGTGAGGAAGATTGGCCCTGTGCTAACATCTATATCCATCTTTCTCTACTTTATATGGGATGCCACCACAGCATGGCTTGATAAGTGGTGTGTAGGTCCATGCTGGAATCTGAACCTGTGAACTCCGGGCCACTGAAGCAGAGTGCGCAAACTTAACCACTATGCCACTGGGCCGGCACTGTTTATTTCATTTAAATTTTGGCTTACTGGCATAGAAATGTTTATAATAATATCCCTTTTTTTCCTTTGAGATTTGGTTTTTATCTTATTAAGGAATTTGAGTAGGGAAATGATAAAATGAAATTCATTATGTTTAACTTTCTTGATGGAAATGCTGGGGAATAGTTGAGAACGAGGGTTTCTTTATATTAGGAGAGGAGGATGAATATGTGTTCAGCTTTGGAAACCCCTCGGTGGTCTGGCTCACAGGTTATATTGGCCTCACTTCTCAGCCTTTTTTTTTTTTGTGAGGAAGACTGACTCTGGGCTAACATCTGTGCCGATCTTCCTCCACTTCATATGGGACACCGCCTCAGCATGGCCTGACAAGCGGTGCATTGGTGTGCGCCCGAGATCCAAACCCTGGGCCGCCAGCAGCGGAGCGCACACACTTAACTGCTACGCTGCCGGGCCCACTTCTCAGCCTTTCTTTTTTTTATAAGTTTATTTATTTATTTATTTTTCCCCCAAAGCCCCAGTAGATAGTTGTATGTCATAGTTGCACATCCTTCTAGTTGCTATATGTGGGACGAGGCCTCAGCATGGCCGGAGAAGCGGTGTGTCAGTGCACGCCCAGGATCCGAACCCGGGCCGCCAGCAGCGGAGCACGAGCACTTAACCACTAAGCCACGGGGCCGGCCCTTCTCAGCCTTTCTGACCCTGAAATTATCTCAAGTTCTTCCCTGGTACTCCAGTACAGTTTGGGTTTCCATTTGTCTATAGATGACTTGATTGATTTTGCTAAAAAATGAACAGTTTTTCTCTTCCCTTCTGCTGACTCTTTTCTGACTCTTGCAGCTACTCATGTTCCAGATTTAAGTGCTTCATTTAAAAGATGTGCACTATTTTGTAAAGGAGTATTTAAGAAGGGGGGTGTTCACGAGAGAGACTGATTGAACCTGTGGAGATTTTCATTGCTTTTAAAGGTGGGCAAAAGAAGGTTTGCATAAGAAGTCGAGGATGCTAAAGTATTTCTATCTTATTTATTATTAATTGAATGAGTGAATGAATGAGTGGGGAACAGTCAATGGTTATGTGTACCCCCCAAATTGTGAATACCAAAATGGGTATTTGACTTCTTCATACTGAGTAAACGGAAGTTCTCTGTGGCTGTTTAGCCTCCCGTTAGGAATTCCTGGCTCTCTTTCTCTTCAGTAGTTAGGATGTGGTGCTATTAATATGATTAAACAGTACTGATTGGAGATAATATTTTTGTACTTTATACTTGAGAAGAAGAAAATTTTGTTGAAAGTTATCATGTTTATTTCTCAGTATTTTAGGGATCATAGGATACTTTGGTCTGGATTTGATCAGGTTTCGTGATTAAGACTAGTTCACAATGGAGGTGATTTAAGTCTTAGAGACACATTTTTCTTTTTATTTATGATGAAAGGAAATAAGTATTTATTTCTTACAAACTTGACCTCCTAGCCTGCTGGGAGCTGACTGTTCTCTGCCTCCTTCTTCACTTATCATGGGAGCGCTCTCCGGGAAGCCAAGCATCCGTCTTAGGCGCGCAGCCTGGCTCTCTGTGCGTGTGATCTTGCCTGGGCAGGACTGTGGCTCCTCGTTCTTTAGCAGAGAGCAGAAGGCATTGCCGTTCTCCTGAACCTCCGTATACCTCTGGGAGGGGGGTCAAAGAATTGGGCGTGATGTGTTTTGATTTTTATTTAGTCCTCTGCAGAAATAAGTGAAGTAAGTCATCCTAAGCCAGTGAGTTTCTTACAGGACATAATTTAATTCAGGTCTTGACTTGTGGCATGTAGAGCCTTGGTGAACATGGTGAAGCCATTTTGTGGCAGCCGCTTATATTGCTTCTCATTGCGCGCGAGTGCTTTTAAACTACCTGTTGTGAGGCACCAGTTTTTATTTCTAATCTGTGTGAACTGATACTTTGATGAAATCCTATAAAAATGAATTATTATAAAAGTGAAATAAAAAAGGACTTAGAAACAGATGTCCAAGATTTTCATTATTAGGTTCAGCAGACATAAAATTATTTTCTTAAATTACTTTAAACCTTTTAAAATTCTTACTCTGAATTTCTGTAATTCTCTCATTTTGAGCCAGTACCAGAGAATTCGCTGACTAGCACTGGGCCTTGAATTGCACTCTGAGGAATACTGCCCTGGACCTGCCCCCTCTCTGCCCTACCCCTCCTTTTGTTTTCCCATAGAGCACTTTATTCTTGGATGTAGGATCTTTTTTTTTTTTTTTTTCCTGTGAGAAAGGTCAGTCCTGAGCTAACATCCATGCCAATCCTCCTCTTTTTCTGCTGAGGAAGACTGGCCCTGGGCTAACATCTGTGCCCATCTTCCTCCACTTTATATGGGATGCCGCCACAGCATGGCTTGACAAGTGGTGCGTCGGCGTGCCTGGGATCCGAACTCAGGCCGCCAGCAGTGGAGTGCACTCACTTAACCGCTACACCACAGGGCCAGCCCCTGGATTTAGGATCTTGGTGAAGCCAGGTGCTACTTGGAAGGGCTGTCTCTTGAATCACATTTGAGCACTGGCTCCTGTTAAGCTGAAGGGAAGTCCAATTTAAGATTTAATTAGCATTATGAAAATTGTGATCGAAGAATCAGCTAATCAGTCTTTGAAATACCCAAGTAACAGACCTGGAGCTATATGAATTTTGATAGACTTGGTAAAAATTTCTCAAATCATTTCCTTAAAATCAGTCTCTTACCAAGACGTGATGAAATGTCTTCCTTTTGCCAACAATTCGCAGATAATGTGATTACCTTCAAATAAACATAAAAACCAGAAAAACAAAAAAACTAAGCATCATGGATCATATATTCCAGAAATCAGATTGTATCATGAGCATTGCTAGGGAGGATTCTCAAGTCGTTGCTCTAAGTCGTAAACTTTTTAAAGTGGAAGTGCTTTCATGAGGATCTGAGAATCTCTCCTTTTTTCCACAAGTGATAAATTTATCATAACCATAACCAGAAGATGAGTCTTTCTTTAGTTCTTTTAATGAACAGAATTGAACTTCTTGATGACTCCGTTAATGTTATCAAAACTTGATTTCGCTTTGACCCTGAGATGCTTATATCATTGTGTTGGGGATTTTAAATTTCACTTACTAATGGATTTTGTGATTTCATTTTACTTGTTTAATAATGAACAAGTGTAGTATTTTTATTAATGATCATTATTTTTTAAATTTGTGCTTAATTTTTTTCTCTAAATGATATTTAATATGTTTACTTTTCAGGAATTACCCAACTCTGTCTTTCTGGTGATGGAGGTAGGTAGTTTACAAGCTTCTGTTTAATTTATTTTGAATTCCTTTGGATTAAGATGTATGTACTTTAAAATTGACAGTAGGTTATTATTTGAAATTTTGAATTAATAAAACTAAGTGATTTAGATTCTACTATGTAAAGAATATAAAATTAAAAATTTTTCATTCTATAATTTTTATGTTTTTCAGGCTAGATTTACATATATACAAATTTTTAATTAAAATTGATAATGGATTGAATTAATCTTGAATCAGTGTCCTTATTTTAATTCCCTTTTCTTTTATATATCAGTATTGCAATGGTGGAGACCTGGCAGATTATTTGCAAGGTAATTTTTTGAATGTGTCAGTGTTCAATAAAGATAGTACTATAGTCTGTTTAGTCCTGAGAGTTACTTCTGAAATATGCTACCCCTGTTTTCTGCACTTGTATAAACATTCAATAAATATTTGTGTATTTGTTTGATTGTGGTCACATTGATGACTAACTATTGTTTGTTGTGGTTTTGTTCCTAAACTTTACTTGTGTATAAGTACTTACTTTAGGTGTGTGTCTCTCTGAGAGTGTTTGAGAGATGGGTCCTCTCCCCAAGAGAGAAAAAACCAAGTAGAATCTCTCTTCTTCAAAAGACTTTGCTGGGCTGCCATCAGTGAACCTTTAGTCCCTTTCATTTCTTTCAAGATAAAAAAAAAATCATAATGGAAGAATGTATCCAAGAATGTATTTATTAATGTGAGTGTTTCTTGTAAATTAAAAAAAAAATGTTATAACAGATTAAAGGTAACATTGAAATTATTTCTTGGCACAGATAAGATTTTAGTACTAGATGGTGCTTGAAATTCTGTATCCAAAATGTATACGTATAGGAGAATAAACATTCAGGTCAAATTGTGTCCCTCAAAAGTTTTTTTTCTTTTTTTTTTAATGATAGGTGAGACCAGCATCTGCTTGTTCACTGCTTGAAGATGCAAGGGAAATATGCAGAAAAATAGTAAAAGGTTCATAACTCGCCTATAAATAGGTCATGGCAATTGATGGTAAAAACAGGAAGACATCAATAGATATACCCACAGAGGCTATGGACAATTTACAAAAGAGAAACAACATATTAAAAATGTTCATTTTCTCCTAGTAATCAGGGAGTGCAATTAAAAATGAGATTTAAAAAAATCTTGAAATATAAAATATTACTGACATCAAAAGCTGTGTAGAGAATGACATTGGTATTACTTCTCCCCCCACAATTAAAAAAGAATTATAGGTATACCTGAAGCTCCCTGTAAGCCCTTCTGTAGTCCCACTCTTGCCCCTCCCCGTTAGAGACAACTGTTATCCTGAATTTGCTAGTTTATTCTGTGTGTGTTTTGTATTTTTCCCAAACGAGATTCTTTTTTTAAAAAATATGTCAATTTGGTAAAAGTTTTTCAAAATGTCATTTACTAGTAGATGGAATGCATTTCGTTCACTACTGGTGGATAGGAGTTGAAGCTGGAAGACACCTTGCTTCTACCTTCTTGTCAGTCTCTGAATCTTGAGTTCCTTGACGTTCTTAGTGATCCAGATAAAAGCACCTTTCCCCCGGGGTCAGTTGAGTGGCACCTTATCTGTTTAGAGCCGTCCTTAGAGTATCTGTTACCTTCACTGACAGAAGTCCTCTATTTGCTGATATAGGCACTGTTACCGGTGTAGCAGATTTAAGTAGGCTATGACAGCAGTTTTGCCCATGGTGTTGAATTCTGTATTTGATATTCCAGAGCAGTAGTGTTAGAATAGGAGACTGAACACTGGAGTCAGACAGGCAAGCTGGTTTGCAACAGTTCCACTGTTTACATCGCTTAACTGCTGTGTGATTTTGGTCCTTATTTAACCTCTCCCTTTCTCCTGTCTGCCACAGTCGTTAAGGGAGTCCCTTGTAGTTTGGAAACACTTGAAAAGATATATAAAATAAATTTGGTCCTCAAGGAATAGTCTAGAGCCATACGGTCCAGTATGATAGACACTGACCACATAGGACTGTTGAGCTCTTGAAATGTGGCTAGTCTCAAGTGAGATGTGCTTTTATGTAAAGTACATGTTGGATTTTGAACACTTCATAGGAAGAAAAGAATGATTATATTATTAAGTTTTTTATATTGATTACAAGTTGAAATGATAATATTTTGCATTGTATTAGATTAAATATATAGTATTAATTTCACCTGTTTCTTTTCACTTTTTAAAATGTGGCTGCTAGAAAACTTAAAGTTACATATGTGGCTCATGTTATGTTTCTATTGGAGAGAAGATCTGGAATGTCTAAAAAGTCTACTAGGTCTAATGCCATTATATCACAACACAGTTATTTAGTCTTTTTATTTGCTTTAATAAATAAGGTGCCTTTCACATTTTCAAAAGATAGGAAACAAATTCTGTCAGTTGCAAGTTTAAAATAAGGCAAATTCTAAATTAATTGGTAAGTTGCACTTAAACATTAATTCTAGCAGAATACTTTAATTGTAGCAGCTATAGTTGAGCCCACTCTCTCAGGGCTAACTTGCTCAATTCATTCATTTGAAAGAGTTTTTTTTTTGTTTGTTTTTTGTGAGGAAGATCAGCTCTGAGCCAACCTGCATGCCAATCCTCCTCTTTTTGCTGAGGAAGACTGGCCCTGAGCTAACATCCATGCCCATCTTCCTCCACTTTATATGGGATGCCACCACAGCGTGGCCTGACAAGCGGTACATCAGTGTGCATCCGGGATCCGAACCCGGGCTGCCAGCAGCGGAGCGCGCGCACTTAACTGCTACGCCACGGGGCCGGCCCCTTGAAAGAGTTTTGATGCTGGCAATGCCTTTAAAATATTAGGTTTTTAACATGGGAATTTCAGTTTATGGGATTGTGTTGAGAAGTACACATACCACGTTCATAGAAATATGTGAACATTTACTACAGTTTGTGCCCAGAAACAGCCTCAACTAGATCGTTAATTTTTTACCCATGGGAACAGTGTTAGGATTTGGACTCTGAATCAGATAAATTTTAAGTCTATTCAGTAGTATGTCATGGGTCAAAGATACAAGTTCTGAGCAGCTGTCATTTAAAGTAGCAAAATTTTTCTAAGCCTTAGAGTGAAAATGTAAATGAATGAAATGGGAAAAAACCACAATACCTATTTTAGTTGTTGCAATGTAATTTAAGTAAAACATTACAAAAATAAAGCTCCAGTTGTTGATTTGAGCCACCCACTAATATGCAGTAATGTGTGTGTTGCCGTCTGCAAGAAGGTTGATCTGGAAGAACACACTCCAGATTGACACAGAGCTCATCTCCAAGGGGCGGGGGATGGGAGATTGCACTGTCTATACATTTTAGTGTATTTTTAAACATTTATTTGTTTTTACAGTGAGCGTCAGGAAAAGAATCCCAAAGAATTAAAAAAAGAGGATAGCTTAAGAACAGCCCTCACAGAAAAAGTATTTGATGATTTTTAAACGATGGGGATTTATTTTATTTGAAGATGTTGAGGACATAAAATGTCACTTAATATGTCATTAAAATGATTTTAAAACCATAAGATTTCACTTGTTCCCAGTGTTCATGTTATTTTTATCTTTCTTAATCTTAATTGCAAATGGAAAGGTTATATAGAACATATTCTAGAGTTGTATGGGCAGAAATGTATTCACAAAGGATTTAGATGGGGTCATGGATGTTAAATCCTTGATGTAAGGATTCAGGGACTTAGACTTGTGACTTTTAGATCCCTTGTAATAAAAAGTTAGTATTTGTGCACTGATTACAGTTTGAGTACTTATTATGTGCCAGGCCTTTTTCTCAAGTCTTCATTATTAAGTGTGGCATCTTGTTTCATGGTCACAACAACCCCATGTGGTTAGTCTGTTTTCAGCTTTTTATGGTTGGGGACTGGGCACAGAGGGGTCATCTTCCAGGATCCCACAGTAAGGAGGTGGAGGAGCTGGGATTTGGATTTGAACAAAGGCAGCCTGTTAACCGTTACGTGCTCCAGCGTCCGTACAGAAACATTGTAGTATTTATTGAGTAATGACTACCTTCAAATAATGTTCATGCTGCTGCTTTATAGTAGTGAAAACAGGTTAAAACATTTCTTCTTAAAGGTGTCGTTAGTTATGAAAGATACTATGGTGGGACAGGGGTGTTGGGCAGCAGGGGAGATTAAAGGAGACAGATGTGGGAATACAGACTCCTGACAGGTCCAAGTGGCAGTCTTGTCCAAGTCTCGCCATTCGAGGATTTCACCTGTTTTTAATTTGTTCTCATGTAGTGGTTGGAATTAAATAGGGACATTGATCACAGATACTGATTGATTGGAAGGGGAGCTTACCTTTTGGCTTGTAGAGGAGACTCACATTTGTTGAGCACCTGCTGTGTCCAGAGTAATGTGGGCACCTTCAGCAGTAGCAATGGGACAGGAAAAAGGAAAACGGACACCAGTGGAAACAAAAGGTCGCATGTAAATCAGTTCTCTTCACAACAGCCTGATTAAAATTTTTGAGATATCTGATATCTCTGCATAGACTTAAATTATTAAGGTAAAAAAGTGAAAAAATGGGAATCCCAGTCCCTTATTCCATTCATGTTCTCCTTAACAACTCAATTCTGTTGATGGAGTATGCAAATGAGATTTGATTTTGTGTGCTTAAATATTTATGTAACTCCTTTTCTACCAGCTAAAGGAACTCTGAGTGAAGATACTATCAGAGTGTTTCTGCATCAGATTGCAGCTGCCATGCGAATTCTGCACAGCAAAGGAATAATCCATAGGGATCTCAAACCACAGAACATCTTGCTGTCTTACGCCAATCGCAGGAAGTCAAGTGTCAGTGGTATTCGCATCAAAATAGGTAAGTGGCCGTGTATTGTTTCACGGAAAGTACATTTTTGAGACTCAGTATTTTCAGATAATTTTGGTTCAGCCTTGTTAGGATGATGGATTTTTGTTGATGCACTTTTGAAATTTTTATTGAGTTCAGTGAGGTACTTTTAGATATGTGAACTCATTACATTATTGGCAGCATATGCTAAATTTCAGACAGGACCAAGGGGCCCATGTTAGAAACTCTAATATGAATCCCAGCAGTAAATCCTTCTCCTCATCAGAGGGAAGCTGATGTATTGTGGTTGCTGGCAGCAAATTAATAACCCTGATTCTGTACAGCTCATGGGATTTTAACATAAAAGATCTAAGAGACCATTTAGTTCAATTTTCTTATTTGGCTAAAAAGCACTCTTATATCTCAAAATTATTTGAAGCAGTTTGTAATGCTAGGTTTTTTTTTTAAAGCTTTCTCTTGGTTGTTAGAAAAATAAATTTTTAGTGGTATTTTAAGAAATTTCTAATATTATGTAGGTTACATCTGGTATCTGGAGGAGGACAAAACAGTTCGAATTCTCTACCTGTGTTGATATTTAATGAGACCTGTGTTAATGAATCATTTATTATAATTACTATTTTATCTTGCAAAGCTGGGTGCTCCCTCCTTGGTTAAAAATCGGGCAGAGCAGTGACTTGTACAATTGGTGATTACTGCTGTTTCTTAGCTTGTGGAAATTGAGGTAGCTACTTTTTTCTTTGGTGGAGAGTCTTATTCAATAAACTGTTAATTTCTCACAATTCTTTTGTGCCCTCTTGTGTCTTGAAGAATCATATGATCTATGTTAAGTGTGAGCAAAGGTATCATTTCTTTTTCTTCTTTTTATTTTGTGAAATAGCGGATTTTGGTTTTGCTCGTTACCTGCATAGTAACATGATGGCTGCAACTCTGTGTGGGTCCCCAATGTACATGGTGAGTGAATGTTTGCATCTTTGTGTGTTTACAGCATGGCACCATAAGCATTAGAGTTTAAGTAGAATCTTGTTTCCAAGTCTGATGTGATTTATATATATAGTCTGAATTGTTATTTATATTACTGACATTAATTATATTACTGACAATGCTATAGTACAGACATCTTTTGCTTTAGCATAGTGGACTGTAAAAGTCAGTCATCTTTGCTCATTGATTGGTTACTATGGTAGAAATCCCCTATTAGATTAAGCTGAAAATAAAAATTGATGAAGTATGGTCATGCTATACTTGATGTTTAATTTTAGGAATACTTAGGAAAAAAACCTTTTGCGAGCACCTCTCCAGGTATAAGATATGCTCATCTTTTGCATGTTGTCTCACTTGACAAGATCCGTATTTCGTAGAAGTTTTTTTCATTAGCATCACATTTAAAGCTGAAAAATCTTAGTTTTCCTCTTTATTCTTTCATATGAATATTGTCATGTCTGATAGGGTGAGGCTATGAAACTTCTGAACTAATGTGAAGTATTAAGCCTGGAAATACGTTACTTCTGGAACTTCAGAATCCAGCAAAGTAAATAAATGTCCCTATTTCAGTTTTAAATTTAAAATGGGTTTATATTCAATTAGGATTTCCTCTAATCTAAAATCGGCTTTGAGATGAAGGGAACTAGTAATCAAAGTTCAAAAAAAATTTTTTTGCATTAGATTTACTATCTGGATTATACTTTACTGCTTATATAATAAATTTTATAATTTAAAAATTATTTTGCACTTCTTTTTTTTTTTTTGTGAGGAAGATCAGCCCTGAGCCAACATCTGCCAATCCTCCCCTTTTTGCTGAGGAAGACTGGCCCTGGGCTAACATCTGTGCCCATCTTCCTCCACTTTATATGGGATGCCACCACAGCATGGCTTGACAAGCGGTGCATCAGTGCGCACCCGGCATCTGAACTGGCGAACCCAGGGCCGCACACACTTAACCCCTTGCGCCACTGGGCGGGCCCAGTTTTGCACTTCTTGAGTATGAAATTAGTTCAGCCTTGAACTAATATCCTTGAGGATAGAGAGAGTGCTTGGGCTGATTATTATTTTATTTTTTTATTTTTCTTTTTTTTTGTGAGGAAGATCAGCCCTGAGCTAACATCTGCCAATCCTCCTCTTTTTGCTGAGGAAGACTGGCCCTGGGCTAACATCTGTGCCCATCTTCCTCCACTTTATATGGGATGCTGCCACAGCATGGCTTGACAAGTGGTGCGTGGGTGCACGCCTGGGATCTGATCCCGGGCGCACACTGATGCACCACTTCTCCGGCCATGCTGAGGCCGCGTCCCACATACGGCAAGTAGAAGGATGTGCAGCTACGACATACAACTATCTACTGGGGCTTTGGGGGAAAAAAAAAAGGAGGAGGATTGGCAATAGATGTTAGCTCAGAGCCGGTCTTCCTCAGCAAAAAGAGGAGGATTAGCATGGATGTTAGCTCAGGGCTGATCTTCCTCACAAATAAAACAACAACAGCAAAAAAAGAAATTTACTAGGGATGATAAATGAAAATGGAAAATAAAATTTCACTATCTTTCGGTATACTTGACATTTCTATTTAATGTTTGTCCTGGTTGATGGTATTTTTGAAAAGCAACATCTAATGAGAGGTGAGAAAATAGCTGTAACAAAGCAGCAGAGAAATGCCTTTGCTTGTAAGACCATTTGTATTATGTCTTGCATCAGTTTTTCTATCATTTTAAAAGCTTTCAAATGACAGAAAAAAAGAGAATAACATAACAAACACTTGTGTACCTACCATTCATATTTAACAAAGTCAACAGTTTGCCGTTTGCCTTGATCTTTTTTCTTTTAATTTTTATTTTTTTGTGAGGAAGACTGGCCCTGAGCTAACGTCCGTTGCCAATCCTCCTCTTTTTGGTGTGGAAGATTAGCCGTGAGCTAACACCTGTGCCCATCCTCCCCTGTTTGGTATATGGGACACCACCACAGCATGGCTTGATGAGCAGCGCGTAGGTCTGCGCCCTCAATCCAAACCTGTGAACCCCAGGGCCGCAGAAGTGGAGTGTGCAAACTTAACCACTATGCTACTGCGCTGGCCCCTGCCTTGATCTTTTTTTTTTTTATATTTTATTTATTTATTTTTTCCCCCAAAGCCCCAGTAGATAGTTGTATGTCATAGCTGCACATCCTTCTAGTTGCTGTATGTGGGACGCTGCCTCAGCATGGCCAGAGAAGCGGTGCGTTGGTGCGCGCCCGGGATCCGAACCCGGGCCGCCAGCAGTGGAGCGCGCACACTTAACTGCTAAGCCACGGGGCCGGCCCTGCCTTGATCGTTTTTTTTTTTAGAAACAAATAAAATATTTCAGAGACAGGCCCAGTCCCTTTTGTACTTCTCTCTTTTCTCATTCCCCGCTCTCCTGCAGAAGTAATCTCTATCCTGTAATTGGTGTATGTTTTTCTTTATTACTATTTTAATACTCTAATGTATGTTATATGTCCATAATAATATATAGAAATGTTTCTTTCTGCAACTTGCTTCTTTTCATGCAACATTGTTTTTGAGATTTACCAGTAAATCTCAATGTAAGAATGTGGTTCTATATTCATTGCAGTATCATTTGATTAGGGAACTAGCACAACGTGTCACTTTTATTTTAGTAGTTTTGTTAAGAGTGTGACCTTTTCCAGTTAATTAATACATGTGTATTAATTATGTAAATAACATAGTGCATGTCTCTTGAATTTTTTTATCCCCAGGCTCCTGAGGTTATTATGTCTCAACATTATGATGCTAAGGCAGACTTGTGGAGCATAGGAACAGTGATATATCAGTGCCTAGTTGGAAAACCACCTTTTCAGGTAGCCTGATTTTTTCCTTATGTGCTCGGTTTTCGGATCTTCTCATTTTGCAGTTGCCTTTGACTTATAAAATGGGGAATACTCTGAAAGCAGTGTTTTTGGTTCCTTTGTGACTTACTTTGATTTTGTTGCAGGCAAACACTGCTATAGTAGTAGTGAGCTAGAACATCTTTTGCTTTTCCTTTTTTATCTGCCTTCCCTTGGTGGTTGGACTGGGCATGAAGCCTGTTATATGTTTTCCAGACTAGTGAACACCAACGAGGGTCAGGGCTAGCAACCTGCTGGGAAATGAGTATGAACGGTGATGTCAGCGCTTCCTGCTTAGCCTGGTTTTGGGGTCCTGGAATCCAAGTGAGGACTAGGGCTGGTCTGGGAAGGTCACTGGAAACTACCTCTAGCTCTCTATACCTGTCACTGCTGAGGCTTTATGGAAATTATTTTGGGTGGGTCTTCCTCTCCTCCTCTCCCTTAACATCTGGTCAAAAAGAGGCCCTCTAGAATATAATCATGATGATTCCTATTGAGTTCATATCTCCCAGTTACAAAGAGGCTTGTTGAATCTGAAAATTGGAACAAAGTGAAATTATTTGCCCAAGATGGTACTAAAAATCAGTGACACAGCCAGGTTAAACTCTGCATTTCCCGATCTAGTTTGTAGGTAGAGGCAGCTGCACTAATTCAGCAGCTCTTATTATGAGGGTACTAGTTGTTGTTATGGAGAGACTGAAAAGTAGTGATATACTTAATTCTCTTGAATCCCTTGAAAGTCCTAAGGTAAAATACACCCTGATTTTACACAATAAAAATATACCTGTTGGGTAGGCCATGTAACCTCCAGAATAGTGGTTCCTAAGTTTCAGGCCTCTCTGAGAGTCCGACCTCAGAAAAATACATTATGGCCAGATATGCAGAATTTGTGTACAATTTCAGAGGTTATCTAGGTTCCCAGAGCCCATCTGTGTCCTTCAGCAATGCCTGACTTTCAAGTTCAGAATCTATGATAGATAGCAAGAATATGAGCATCGGTCATATGAGTTGGAATTTTTGTCCCCATTGTTTAGGAAATTAAACCTTTTTTTTTTTTTTTTTTGTTTAAACAGGCCAATAGTCCTCAAGACCTAAGGATGTTTTATGAAAAAAACAGGAGCTTAATGCCTAAGTATGTGTTTGGATTACCCTGGGTTTTGCTGTTTGTGAATACAATGTTATTTATTTGAACTCTGTGTGTTTTATGTATTTCCATTATTGAAACTTTTTTCAATTGACAGTAATGAGAGTATTTTTTATGACAGGAAATTAGAAAATTACTATCACATACATCATAGGTGCCTGTGTAGTGTTATACCATTTTATTTCTTTTTTAAAATGTTGTTTATTTTTCATTTTTTTATTTTTTGTGAAGAAGATCCAGCCCTGAGCTAACATCGATGCCAATCCTCCTCTTTTTGCTGAGGAAGACTGGCCCTGAGCTAACATCTATTGCCAATCCTCTTCCTTTTTTTTCCCTTTTTCTCCCCACAGCTCCAGTAGATAGTTGTATGTCATAGTTGCACATTCTTCTAGTTACTGTATGTGGGATGCGGCCTCAGCATGGCCGGGCAAGCAGTGCGTCGGTGCACGCCCGGGATCCGAACCCGGGCTGCCAGTAGCGGAGCGCGCGCACTTAACCGCTAAGCCACGGGGCTCGCCCCAAAATGTTAAGTATGTTAAAAGAAAAAACTACAGAAGTTATATGTGTTCTTTGAGGGGAGGGAGATGAAAACAACAGATGTGCATAAAGTAGAAAGCATATTCTCACTAGGCCTTCCCCCACTCGCAAGGGAAACAAGAGTTTGCTTTGTATCTTTCGAAATCTTTTTTTTTTTTTGCGAGTTCTTTTTACACATTTGAGTACTTGTTTATGTTCATATTTACACACACACACACACAGTTCAGTACAAATTACATCATACTTTGCGAATTGTTCTGCAGCTTTATTTTTACTCTGCAGTATAGTGTAGAGGTTGTTCAGCAACAGTATGTAGAGAACTACTGCATTGTTTTAAATGGCTACATGGAGTCCCATGGTTAGATGTATCATATTTTATTAAATCAGATCCCTGTTTTCATTTTTTGGTTACTACAAGTAAGCTTTAGTGAAGAGAGAGAGAGAAAGAGAGAGAGAGTATGTTTCTGTGTGTGTGTGTGTGTGTGTGTATGTGTATGTGTACACATTTGTACATTTCTTTGGGATGGACTCCTAGAAATGGAATTGTTGAACCTCAAGGTATGCTCTCCAAGTTGGCTGTCCTGTTTATACAGCAGTGTAAGAGATTGCTCCTTTCCTCACATTGTTACCCACGTGGGATGTTATTAGACTTGATGTCGCACACATGGGGGAGGATCAATTAGCTATTAATTTAATTTGCATTATTCTCTTTTTTAGTGAGGTTGGCTTTTTCTTTATTTGTTTAATGTCCTTTTGTAGTTTTTATTCTGTGAATTGTACATTCCTGTTACTTACTCATCTTTCTAATGCCTTGTTTGTCTTTTTCTTACTGGATTTCAGGAAGCTGTATTATTTCTCACTTGTGTTTGTTTAAGCTCTGCCCCCTTCCAGACAGAGTTGGACGTGGCTCTTTTTCTGATAGAGAACTCTATAGCAACTATTAGTGCAAGGTTGAAGTTGTGTTAAAACTCAAAATTGTCTGTGCTTGTGAAGTGCTTTATTCCTGCAGATATTCTAACAAGCAATAATAAGCACAATACAGGAATCTTCCCAAATTGATGCTATTTCTCAAAGGCAGTTGCTTAGTGTTTGTTTTTTTTTTTCCCCTGTAAGGAGTGAGGCTTTACCATGGTCATGTTGGTATAAAATGTAGTATTTGTGAAACTGCATATACATTTTCATTTACCGTAATGAAGGCAAAAGTCATATAGTTAATATGTATAAACTCACCACTTAGGTTGTTTTTTTTCCTTTCCCCCAGCATTCCCAGAGAAACATCACCTTATTTGGCTAATCTCCTTTTGGGTTTACTTCAGAGAAACCAAAAAGATAGAATGGACTTTGGTAAGTAATATTTTTTCAGATTTTGTATGCTTGCTAATATCATTTTTGTGTATTCTGAAGATATTTTTTTGAAAAGATACTATAGAAGTTTCAAAGGAAAGAGTCAATTTCACTTTTCTTTCTCTTTATCTTTTTTCTTTCACTTATTTTGTAAATATTTATTGAGTGCCTGCTATGTTCTAGGTACAGTGGGTAGAGTAATAAACAAAATCCCTGTCCTCATGATGCATATATTCTAGTGGAGGAGAGACAAACACATTATAAAATATAATTATACGCTCTATTGGAAGGCAGTAAGTACTGTGGAAAAAAATAAAGGAAGAGAAATGGGGGTGGGATGGGGATTGAAATTTTAAATAAGGTAGTGAGTGAAGAGCTTTCTGAGAAAGGGACATTTGAACACAGACGTGATTGACAGGTATGAGTAGTGAGCCATGTGGATATTTGTGAGAAGAGCTTTTTAGGCAGAGTGAATAGCCAGTACAGATGTCCAGACCTGGGAGCAGGCCGTGTAAGCTGGAGGAGCAGCTGGAGGGCCAGTTAAAGACTTGGGCTTTTGCTCAAAGTGTGATAGGGAGCCATTGCATGGTTTTGAGCAGAGGAATAATATGATCTGACGAGTGTTTTAAAATCAGTCTGGTTGCTTGTTGAGGACAGCCTGTGGTGAGGTACGGCAAGGGCAGAAGCTGGGAGACTAATCAGGAGACTATATAATCACTATACCCAGGTGAGAAATGGAGTAGCTTAGACTAGGGTAACAGCAGTGGAGGTGGTGAGAAGTTGTTGAATTCTGGATCATTTTGGGGGTAGAGGCAGCAGCATTTACGGTTGCATTGGATGTAGGGTGTGATAGAAAGAGAAGACTCAAAGATGTCTCCAAGATTTTTGGCCTGAGCAACTCCAAAGAATGGAGTTGTCAGTTATAGAGATAGGAAAGACCATGTGGATGGAGCAGGCTACGGGGGCAAGATCAGGAGTGTAGGTTGGACATGTTAAATTTAAGATGTCCATTTGACCTCTAAGTGCAGATGTCAGAAGTCACTTGGATTTCAGAGGGAAAGGTCCAGGTTGGGGATATATTTGGGAAAAGATCTGGGAGGAAGGAATGGAGGAGAAACATTTTAGAATCCTGATAGAAAAGTCCCTAACCTTGAAGATGGGGTTTAGGGAGACAGGAAGGGCGGCTCCATGTCACCCTCCATGTGAACATGTGCCTTGTGGCAGCTTGGCTCTCACCACGGCTATAGGACAGTGGGCTGTGGGTGCCTCTTGGAGGCCATGGCCTGTGTTTAAGAATTTTAGATTCTTGAGGTGGAAGCTTATATCATTGATTTTGAGCCTTTCTTCTTTTATAATATAGGCATTTCTATTATGTATGCTTATTATAAGTATATATAATATAATAAAAGCTAAAAATTTCCCTCTGAGTACTTTAACTTATCACAGTCTATCTTCAAATAATATTTTACCACTTCATGTGTAGTGAAAGAACTTGGAATGCTTAATACTGTAGAGATTATCCAGTTGTCGAAGGTCTTGAAAGAACATTTATCCCTGAAACTGTTGGGTCTCAGCAACCCCAACTGTTTGGGGGATGGTTTGTTAACTTGTTCTTATCAATCTTATGTAAAAGATTGTTCTTTTCAATCTTACGTAAAAACAGTGAGACTTGAAGATGTTAGACCAGAAAAACCATAAAACGTGTTTGATGAAAATGCTTATCAAATTAACCCTGATCATCAAATTTTTAGAAAAGAAAAGTGTTTGATTTTTCCTGTAGTATTAGTTGTAATAACAATAGAGATTTGCAAAAATTTATTCCAGAATTTTGGTCTGTTGATGTATGTTATGGAAATCTACATAGGCTTCTGGATCAGGCAGACTGAGGTTTGAATTCTGCTTCCTCAACTTATCGCTCTTTGACCTTGGCGAAGGTGCATGGCCTTTATGTGCTTCAATCTCCTTATCCGTAAAAGAAAGACAATAATACCTTTTGTGAAGTTTGTGAGGATTAAATGAGGAACTGGTATGTGGCACTCAGTTTATTGTCCTAGGAAGTGTTCTCAGGAGATGATAGATCTAATAGCTTCTGTAGAGGGGGAAAGATGAAGTAGTCTGAATATGTATTTACTTAAAGTTTTGTAAAATTGAAATTAAACTTCAGTTTATGTAGCTGGTAAATATGTTTTATTTTTCAGAAGGAGACATTAAACTGAGTTGCTCTATAACTATGAGGAATATGGGTCAGTAGTGAAACAACATACTCATGGATAATAGTTTTAAAATTATAGGTTATGTTAAATATTTATATACTTTCCATACCATAGCAATTGATTTGAAAGGTGGTTTCAGAGTATTTGCGTTCAGTCAATCTAGTTTATTTATATCTTTTCTATTTCATCCCTATTATGTCCTTTGTAAAAGTTAGCATAAAAAAATCTTACATGTTAAACTAGAATTTATGTATATATGTGTATTAATTTTTGTTCTAAAAAAGATAGAAGGTAGAAAACTCAGGCTTCTTTCCAAAACCCTCCACACTTCCATTCCTTAGCAAGTCTTGTGGTTGATAGTTACTCTGAGGGGCTTTGGGTATTTATTTCAGTGAAACTCATGAGATCCTTCAGAGTGGAAGATAATTTAGACTAAACCTGAGTGAAGCTGATTCCTGATCTTGTATTATCCTGTGAACCTCCATGTGGGTACTGTGCTATTCTCCCTGCTTGCTCTGTGATATTTGATATCATTCAAGTCTGAGACTTAATGATAAATGAGATTATCTTTGTGGATTTTTAAAGAAATAATGAAATAATTTACACATACAGGCAAATAAAGAGAGTAAAATAATGAACTGCCATGTACTCACTTATTTATCTAATTAGCAGGCTTATTGTATAGGTTTTATCTTTGGTGGATAGCTGAATAAATTAAATCAAATTAATAGTTTTTTTGAAAAATGTGCAACCAGCTGTAGGAATACTTCTTGGCTAGAAGGATAGAGTTTTTTTTACAAATCAGCTGCCTAGATTTCCTCTTAGGATGATTAACAGCCATAGTTCAAAAATGTGCTTAGTGAGGGCCTGGTCACAGCACTCCATACACTGTGAGCTTGAGGAGGGCACCTGCTAGAGAACACGTCTCCTTACACTGCCTCAGGGCATGCTGTGTTGGTGATGGAGGTTTTGAAAAGTCACAGTTATTATTTTAAATATTTCATAGATTAAGAATTACTTATAATTTGATAATTTTTATAGATTTATAAAAATAATATGCTCTAACATTTAAAAGAAATGGAGGCTACACAAAGAAGTTAATAATTATCTATGATCTCAAAGACATTATGTTGACTACATTGACAAGATTAACCTATCTGCTAGTCAATGTCAATTTAATGGTTGCATTGTCATTTTTCATTACAGAAGCATTTTTTAGCCATCCTTTTCTTGAGCAAATTCCAGTAAAAAAATGTGAGTACCCACTTTTGCATTTTTACTTAAAGAGTGAGTGCAAATTTAAGGAAAAATTAGTATTTTGTATTACAAAATTAATTTTTTATGGTCCTTCTCAAGATTTCATTGAGGTTTTCTTAAATACTTGGAGTTGTGTTTATTTGATAACAGTTCTGTTTTTCCTTCCAAATCCACGTCAAAATAGTTTTAGTAATTGCTGCATTTTTAGTTTCATCCATGGGAGCTGTAATAAGTAGGTGAATGTGAATTTTTGGTCAACACAAAGATGAAGTAGTTTTGACAGGTTTTTCTATTAGACAAGTAATGTAATTGTACTACTAAGTGGTGTTTCTCTTCGTTGGTGTTTCTTGCCGTAGCCTGCCCGGTTCCGGTGCCTGTGTATGCTGGCTCTGTCTCTGGAAGCTCCTGTGGCAGCTCTCCGTCGTGCCGTTTCGCCTCTCCACCAGTAAGTTCTGGTTTTGTTAAAAATAATTTCAGAGTTAGTGCTATTGCATCTCTTCACAAACAGAGCCTGCAAATATGTTGTGGATATTCTTTTTAAGTATCATGTTTACTAGTGCAGCTGAGGCTTAGGGAGAGAGCATTATTGTTGGGTCAAATGGACCTAGATTTGAACCCCTGCCCTTATTTAGCTTTGTAAGCTTCAGCAAGAAATGTCACCTCTCTGGGCCGTTTCCTCTGAACAGTGAGTGCAGTACTCTCACCTTTCCATGCCCTGTGGGTTTGGGAAGGATGATACTTGCAAACAAAAAGTACCTATTACAGGTGGATAGGTAATAAATAGTTATTTTATCTGAATATCGTAAACATCAGTTTGGATATTTATTGTACATAGAATTTCCAGTGGGGGAGGAGTGACCGCTGAGCCAGATTTCACTGATTGAGATTCCCTTCATCATGATTATGTTACTAAAACCAAAGTGGGGTCACCTCCTGGCGAGTTAAATCAGATTCTCCACCAGAAGTAGTTGTCACACAAAGTAAGGTGTATTTGCAGCAAATAAGAGACCATGCGGACTCATTTCCAAAGTCATGGCTCTCCCCCAACAAAGGGAAGCAGGGGTCTTTTATTTCGAACGGGGAATGAATACTCAAAAGGGAGAGGTGGGTATTTGCTTGCTCAGGCTAAGTTGGAAAACACGCTTCCATATACACTGCAGGTTACCGTAATAAGGCCTAGGCTCCTTCTGGAGAGATTTTAGCATTAAAAATAAGACAAAGGTCATAGGCGTAGCTTGTGTGGTGAGGCTTGGTCTGGTTCAGGGTGGTTGGTGATTAAATTCCTTAACATAACAAAAGGAAAAAAAAACAATTTGGAAAAACAGTTAAATGCTTCTGAACCCACTCTTGAGTTCCTCAGGGCAGTTAGTCAGTGGTAATTACAGGCCCTGTAAGGTTGTTCCACTCTTCCTTCTCCTGAGGGTCCCAAGCCACTTCCTCCATGGCTTTCTTCCCTCTAGTCTAAGTGCTTCTTCCTGATCCTGAGAACGTTTTTTTTTTGCTTGAGCAAGGTTGCTCCTGAGCTGACCTCTTTGCCAGTCTTCCTCTACTTTGTATATGGGATGCTGCCACAGCACGGCTTGATGAGCGATGTGTAGGTCTGCGCCTGGTATCCCAACCTGTGAACCCCGGGCCGCGGAAGTGGAGCGCATGAACTCAACCTCTATGCCGCTGGGCTAGCCCAGATCCTGAGAACTTCTGATCACTTCTGGTCACTACTTCCTCCTGTTAGAACTCTCCTAGGGTCTTACTCTACCCTCTTCTCTACTTTTCTAGACTGACCCTTCCCCTAGATCTCAGTTGCAGCTTGGGAGGGTTGTGACCTTGAGGCTTTTCCACAAGCTGAAGGTCCAAGGGCTTTTGTGTCAGCTGTTGTATTTTCCAGATAGTCTGGCAGACATGAATTTCTTGAATTCTGCCAGCAGAAGGGTAGGGGAGCCATAAGGAGGTGATTGTATGCTTAGTGGGTTGAGGCAACTCAGAGGTTTAAGAGTACGGGGGTTGGGAGCTTCCACATCCCTTACTTTCCATATTAACTAGGTGGCTTAGTCTCTCTGAGCCTGTTTCTCATATGTAAAGTGAGTATAATTTACCTACTTCATAGGATTTTTTTTAAGGATAAATGAGCAAAAGCACCTACTACTGTGCCTGGCACACAATAAATACTCAGGAAATGGCAATTGCTGTTATTATTTTCCAGGGAAACCTAATAGCCAATAGCTAAAGCAGATGCTGAAGCGGCCTACTGCAAATGGATGAGTCCTAAAACTGGCAAAAAAACTTTTTTGCACCACCCTGCAGACTCAAACCAAATAGAATAAGCAGATGGGCTAATAAGACTTACATTATGTTCCCATGAATTTAAAAAACTAAGAGGAAACAAAAGCGTTGTGTATGTCCTGTTTCAGTCTGGAATATACAAAAATCACTGAATTTGGAGTGATTGTGTTACTGCACCAGGTCCATTTTTGCCTGCCGCCCAGAAAGCCAAACACCGAGACAATGAGATTGCAGCAGAGAGAGGGGGTTTCTTAATCACAGGCAGCTAAGTGAGGAAATGGGAGAATGAATCTCAAATCCGCTTCCCCAAAAATGGGGACACAGGGATATTTATGGGGTAGGGGGCAGGGTGGTCTCAAATGATTGGAGGTGAGGAGAGATGAGATAATTGATGATCTGCGCAAGTGTAGTTAGGCTTCATGCCTCTTCATAGGATGCGTGTTCACAGAATGGCGGTGTTAGCATGCCCTGAGGGTGGAGTTTTAACCTCTTGACGTCAGAATGTCAAAAGGTCACTTTTATCGGGCATATGTCTGTGTGGGCCCAGTTGATGGGTTGGTGGTCTCAACTGGTCTGAAGCTGACAAGGGGTTCCAATTCCTGAAAAAAAGAGCTCAAACACCCATTACCGTGGTGACCCAGGCTTCCAGGGAGATGTTATCTATAGCAACCTAGTGGGAGTCAGATAGCATATTGCCTAAACAGCACAGTTAACAATGGGTAAATTTATCATGCAGATTTAAGTCCTCAGTCCGTTCTGATAAGTTTCTAGGTAAGGCCATCCCCCACCCTTCCTGGTACAGGGAAGAAGATACCTTTACAAATGGAAATTTCCTTTGTAAATGTAAATGTCTCTTACAAAGGGTAACCAGAACTAAGAATGGGCTTAGCAGGGACCCTCCCGGATACCCGGAGATGTCTATGGTGGTGGCCTGTTCTGGGGGCAGGCCTCCCATCCCAAACTCATTTGGACAGTTAGTGGGGCTGGGGGTCAAAGTGTCTTTTAGGCAGAGACAGATTTTGAGGTGGCCAATTCCGATCCCCCTTAGTTACTGGCTGCTTAATTATCAATGGCTAACTGTTTGCCAGTTTCAATTGGGGAGAATGTAGAGGACTTGTATTGACATGGAAAGATTATAGGCTTTATTTGGAGGCAGGCAGAACTGGCTTCAGTGCTGGCCCTGCTGCCTGCTCACTCTAACTTTGGGCAGGTCAGTTCCAGGCTGTGCCATGGCTTCCTCATCTGTAAGGTAGGTCTAATTAACTTTTGCTTGAAGGGCGATATCTGGTGATATGTGGAAAGTGCCTAGCCATAGTGAGTACTTGATAAACTGGAGCTATTATTGTGAAGGATATATTTGATACAATGTGATACATAATATGAAAAACAAAGCTTATGCTAGAGAAAGGAACAACAGGGAAGAATGTGATTATGGGAGAGGTGTGGGAGAGCAAGAATAAAGGAGCCTATGGGATGGCAGAATGACCCAGGGATGAGAGCCAGGGGCCAGCAGGAGGCACACTGAGCTGGAAGTTGCTTTGACTGGAGAGAGCATGTTGGGGTTTTTTGTTGGGTGGGGAAGCATTGAAAGGGAGAGCACAATGGGAGCTGGGCCTGTGCTGCTAGGGGAGAGCAGGATGGAGTGCCAACAGGAGGAGTGAGGAGGTGCAGGAGGGAGAGAGGAGGCATGTTTAGATGCTAAAAGGTTAGTGGAAAAACTGTTTTTAGAAGGCCTTTATTAAAAGTTAATGGTTGAAGTGAAAATAAAAAGGAATGTTGGAAAATAAAAAGAAAGCAGGAATGTTTCTGTGTAATTTCCAGTTAGTGAGATTAGAAAAATTGGATGGTTTGATAGGCTTTGCTTTTAACGTAATCTGCCGAAAGTAGGATGATTTCATACGTGCATCACCTTCCTTCCTAGGGCTGGAGTAGACTCTCATACTGAGGGTTGATGCAGGCATGCACCTATAACCTTCTCTTTTTTATATTTTCACTCAGATATCCAGCTGCTACTTTATTCCAGAGAAATCTTTGAAAGGAAAGGCAAAAACAAAAACAAAAAAACCATAACAAAAAATTCCAAATCACTCTTTTAGTTATGATACTGGCTATTGGTTAAATGCTATGTAGATAATATCTGTTGAATATCTGTTTATTGGTTTCATAATGTTTACTAAACGACTACCTTGTATGAGGTCCTGGTTGATACTAATGAACAAAATGACCAAGTCCCTTACATTAAGGGCTTTTAATTTAATTGTGTAGAGAAGAGGCGGTATATTAATCACTATTAGAAGCATATGTGGGGCTGGCCCCGTGGCTTAGCGGTTAAGTGCGCGCGCTCCGCTACTGGCGGCCTGGGTTCGGATCCCGGGTGCGCAGCGACGCACCGCTTCTCCCGCCATGCTGAGGCCGCGTCCCACATACAGCAACTAGAAGGATGTGCAGCTATGACATACAACTATCTACTGGTGCTTTGGGGGAAAAAAGGAGGAGGATTGGCAATAGATGTTAGCTCAGAGCCGGTCTTCCTCAGCAAAAAGAGGAGGATTAGCACGGATGTTAGCTCAGGGCTGATCTTCCTCACAAAAAAAAAAAAGCATATGTGTATATATCTTTATTCCCTGTGGGAATGTGGATGAGGGGCATGAATCAGACTACAACTCAGGAAGGCTGCGCAGGGAGGGCATTGAGCTGAGTTTTGAAGAAAGTTAGCAAGATAAATTAGTAAAAGAATGGTATTTGGTATTTGTAGGCAGAGGAATCTCCTTCATGAAGTCATGGAAGCATGACCCACTAAGGAACTCTGTAGCCCTCCATGGCCTCTTGAATTCAAATTTGTTAGAATTAAGTGAAATTTAAAACTCAGTTCCTTACATTAGCCACATTTCAGGTGCTCAATAGCCAAATATAGTTAGTGGCTACCAAACTGGACAGCTCAGATATAGAATGTTTCCGTCATTGCAGGAAGTTCTGTTGCACAAGGCTTCTCCAAGCAGCTCAGTCTGGTGGATGTAGAGAGCATTGGTAGTGTAGTGAGGGGAAAATAAAGTTAGAAAGGTAGGGAGAGGCTGTATCTTGACAGAATTTGGGTGCTGAGCAAAGGAGTTCAAACTTTAGTCTTAAAGCTGAGGTGAGCCATTTGAATGATTTTAAGTGGATCATGCATATGATCCACTGTGTGTTTTAGCTAGATTCTTCTAAAAGGTGGAGGACTAGACTAGAGACAAGTAGAGACTAAAGAGGTCTCTGTACTGGAGGAAAGAGAACAACCTGAAACTACTGCAGCTTTGTTTTGTGTTTTGTTTTGTTTTTTTGAAGATGAGGACCCAAACTAAGGCAGCGGTAGGAAAGGAGAAGAGGGGCCAGGTAAGAGAAAGGTAAAGAATGTGCAGAGCTTGGAGATTGCTTGAACTTGGGACTTAAGCAAGAGGGAGACCTTGATGGAGACTGAATGGATCAATGATGATGAAGTCACTCAGTAAGGGAGCCTGGGAGGAGTGCTTGCCGTATAAAGGTGATGAAGTAGTGTGTACAAGCCTGGATGTGTTATATAGGCAGGTGGCTAGAGGGGCCTAGAGCTCATCGGAGAGGTTCTAGGCTGCAGAGTCATCAATATGTAAGTGGCAGTGGAAGGTAGGAGAGTGTGAGTGGTCACTAGGATGGGTATAAAAAGTGTGAGGAGTAGAGGGCCCAGGGTGGCACCCTGGGGAATTCCATACCCTACTCGTCTCCTTTAAGGAGAAATGAGAAGCAGCTACCCACAAAAGAGACTAAGAGGTAGGAGGAAAAGCAAGAGAGAGCAGGGTCACTGAATGAAGGGGTAAAGGGTCAAGACAAGAATGGTCCACAGTGCAGGTGTCGCAGAGAATTTGAGTCACTTAGAGAACAGAGGAAGTGTCCACAGGACTTGACAATGGGAGTTATTGGTAACTTTAATAAAGGCAATTTTATTGGAGGATTGAAGGCAGAAAGTGGATTATGGTGGGTTAAGGGATACATGGGAGGTGAAGAATTTGTGTCAGTGAAGATTGATAATTTCAAGACGTTTTAAGAAGTGAAGGAGCGAGAGTAGATGGTTATTGAAGGGTTGCAGGGATTTGAGATGTGAGAAGGTTAAACAGGTTTATGTATAGAGATGAAAAAAAGCCAGAGTGAGGGGAGAGGGGGAAAGTGTCCGGTGCAGAGTGGAGTTGATCTTGGTCCTTGAGGAGGTGGGGGAGGATGGAATTAGAGCACAGGTGGAGAGATTAGCTTTGAAAGCGAGGAGAAGCACCTCTGCTACCCAGATGGTTGTGGACGCAGATAGTTTTATAAATAGCAAAGGAAGAAATTGAGCAAGTTCCTTCCAAAAGCCACTGAAGAAACTGTGGAGTTACAGACTTGGAATCACATCTCAGCTTGACTGCTTTTTAGTTGTGTGATCTCGGGCAAATTTCCTAATGTTCTGAGTTTTGTTTGTTTATCTGTGAAATGGATTTCAGAATAGGCTGAAGTTAGATAATACATGGAAAGCTTTTAACATGCCTAGCCCATGGTTGATGCTCAGTAATGTTAGTCTTTCCATCTTCCCTTCCTTTTATAGCCTTGAGACATAAGTTCTCTTCAAAAAGTGATCAGGGGATTTTATGGCATGTGTATGTCACACACACACACAAAGTGATGAGGAGATTTGAGACATTTCATTGCACAGTGATATTCAAAGGAGCACTAGCAGTGAATTGGGTGTTAAGACTTGAGGTTAAAGAGCATTATGTAGTATTTTTCCTTTTCTTAAATAGAAACAAAGGGTAAACAGGGTAATGGGGATTTAACACAATATGTTATGAAGTTCATTGTTTTAGAAAACCGTTGTGTAATCAAGACATTCAATCAGAGTTGTCACCAGAGGTTTTTTTTTTTTCTGCTGAGGAAGATTTGCCCTAAGCTAACATCTGTGGCAATCTTTCTCTGTTTTCTCTGTTTTGTATGTGGGTTGCCACCACAGCATGGCCACGGACCAGCAGTGTAGGTTGGCACCCAGGAACCCAACCTGGGCCGCCAAAACAGATGGTGCTGAAGTGGAGTGCGCTGAACTTAACCACTAGGCCACGGAGCCGGCCCAAGAGTTTTTGAAGTAGGCAAATGCCAAAAGATATATAGTTACTTATGCCTCAGTGTTTGCTTAAATATATTTATATGCTTTTTTTCCTTTCCTGTCCTATCTCACACAAACCAACTCCTCCCCATAACAAAAGAAAAACAAAAGGAACACACCCACACCAGTAAGGTTTTCCAGATCTTTTTTTCTGTGAGTGTAAATAAATCTCTAGGAACACACCCACACCAGTAAGGTTTTCCAGATCTTTTTTTCTGTGAGTGTAAATAAATCTCTAGGTTTAAATGCAGTTATCCTTATTGACTTGTTTACTTTTTTACATAACATAGTCTCTTGCTTTCCTGTTTATACTGTTTTCTTCATTGGAGATTTAAAACTTTTTGTGTGTGGAGGACGTTGTTAATTTAAAGTCCCTGAACATTTCACTTTAGTCATTAAGTGAACAGTTATTGAGTATTTGCTTTGCTAGGCCATGAGCTGAAGCTGGAGATGTTGAGATATAAAAACTCACCTTCTCAAAAATTTCAGAAGAGGTAGACATGTACGTGTGATAAGTGGTATGATATATTTTTAAGTATCATTTTTGGAAAACATTTTAGAAGTCTTTATGCAAAGACACTTTACACTGTGCATTTCTAAGGGAAAGATTTCCAAAGAGATTTTTTTAAAATCTTAGATGGAATTGAACTTTATGCCCACTTTTATGAAAAAACATTCTTTAGTCTAATGGCTATTCTGACTTGCATTTTATTGTTAGGCTAGTTTTAATTTTATGTTGTTAATTTTAGTCCCTTCCAGATATGCAGCATATTCAGGAAGAAAACTTATCCTCCCCACCATTGGGTCCTCCCAACTACCTACAAGTGTCCAAAGATTCTGCCAGTACTAGTAGCAAGAACTCTTCTTGTGACACGGATGACTTTGTTTTGGTTCCACACAACATCTCGTCAGACCACTCATGTGAGAATCTTTTCTACTTGTACATATTGTATTTCTTAATTTACTAGACTAGCATTTTTTTTAACCTTTATATCATGCTCTCTTGTATACGGCACATTTTCAAATGGGCATTTTATTTAGTTGTTTGAATTCCCAAAATTATATACCTATCTTTCTAAAATCTGCTGGGTCATCTTCCATAAAACAGTAACTTTGGATTCTGAAGGTAGATGGAAACTATAGGAAATGATCTCAAATTCTGTCTGTATCCAAACGGAAAGAAGTAGAGAAGCCAGCAGAATGAGAGAAATTAAATTTAAGGAAAGAAGTTAAAGGAAGACCTCTTTTGGAAAAAACCTAAGAGTAAAAGGAGTCTTAAAAGCAGTCTGGACGTCCTTCAGAAGATATTGGCATATGTTCAGAACTGAGCTTCATAAATGGATAGAGTTTTCATGAAGGAGGCACAATCCAAGTTCACTAAATGCAGTCAGTGTTCTGTGGTATAGTGAAGGGTACAAAAAACTACAAACGAGAAGTTAGACAAAGCCGTTAAAAAAGAAGGAACCATGTTTTGGTTGTGAAGGAATAGGGTCAGAAAAGCTGGAAGTTTGCTGAATAATTGAATAATGCCAAGTTGACCATGTGCAGGTGTAGATGGTTGGAGATGTTTATATCAAGAGGTCTCTTTAGTTGTTTGTCACATACTTAATAGCTGCTTATGTTAGGCACTGTGCTAGTTGTAGTGAAGGCCATAATCGCCAGACCAAACGCCCTTCAGGTTCGTTGGTTAGGGAGGGGAAACATGGACACCGCAGCACTCGTAGTGGCAGTTTATGATGAGTGCTGTGAGGACTGGGCGTTACTTTAAACATCATCCAGTACAGTGGTTTTATTTCATTTAAAAAAGTAATTAAAACTTAAAATTATGAAATATTTCAAACAAAATAAACATCAGATATTCAGATTACCCACCATGCTAATTTTATTTATGTCAACATTTTGCCGTATTTGTTTTAGGTATCTTTTTAAAAGATATAGAATGCTGTCGGCACAGCTCAAGTCCCCTTGCCTCATTCTACTCTTGCCAGAGATGTATTCCTCCTGTAGATGACTTTATACTTCCACATATGCTTGTATCCATAAATAACATACAGTATTTTTGTGTTTTTACAGTTTTAAGTAAACGGTATATAGAATGTTCATTTCTGTAGTTTGCTTTTTTATTTATATTTTTGCTCTGTATCTAGATACATATCTAGATGTGTATCTAGTTCATTTTAATATCTGAATTTTGTGGTACAATAAACCACAGTTTATCCATTTCCCTACTGATGGTTAATTGGATTATTTCTGTCTTTTCATGATTCAGAATGTGTTGTAACAGATGTCCTTGTGCCACACTGTCTTCCAAGTGGGTACTCTAGCTATGTACAACTTCAGCTCTGTAAAATATCGGTGCAAACAAATTGTAGGCAACTAATAGTCTCTACCATGCTGCCTCAGTGTTATAATGGTACCTTCTAAAGATTTTTATTTTTTTTTTTTCATATTTAACTTTACCTGGAATTCATTTTTGTAGATGGAATAAGGTAGGGAACTATCAATTATCCCAGCATGTTTTTATTGAATATTGTCCACTGATATGCAATTCCAGATTTGTCATATCAAGTTTATATAAAGGATTGGGTTTTAAGGTTTCCTGTTCAGCTCCATTGGTCTATTTGTCTATATTATTATTATTTTTTTTTGTGTGTGTGTGTGAGGAAGATCAGCCCTGAGCTAAGATCCGTGCTAATCCTCCTCTTTTTGCTGAGGAAGACCGACTCTGAGCTGACAATGTATTGCCAGTCCTCCTCCTTTTTTTCCTCAAAGCCCCAGTAAATAGTTGTATGTCGTACTTGCACATCCTTCTAGTTGCTGTATGTGGGACGCGGCCTTAGCATGGCCAGAGAAGCGGTGCGTTGGTGTGTGCCTGGAATCCGAACCCGGGCCGCCAGTAGTGGAGCGCGCGCACTTAACCGCTAAGCCACGGGGCTGGCCCCAATATAATAATTTTTAAATTCTTGTGTGTCTGTGTGAGATGGGGGCGGGGGGTGATGGTAGAGAGCATCCTAGTATTCTTTGAAATCACCCTGGCTATTGGCTCCTTTTCCTACCATGTAGTTTTAATTTCGGCTTGACAAATCCTAAAAAACCATTTGAGGATTTGGGTGGGAATTGTATTGATTCTGTAAGACCTATTTAGGGACAGTTAGGATCTGTACAATATTAAATTGTCTACTCAAGAATGTTTATGTGTTTCTCCACTTATTTAGGTTTCTTTAATATGTTTTGATACATATTTATACTTATCTCCATAAAGGACATTCACATGTTTTGTTTTATGTTAGTTACCTTTGTTCTTTTGTGCTTGTATAAATATTGCCTTAAAAAAATTTTTTTTTCAAAACTCTTCCTGTCGAGGTCTTTCTGCTGCTAAATCCCAGGGATCATTTCTCAGTCCTCATCTTTTTGATGTGTCCACAACATTTGTTATAGTTGACCACACCCTTCTTTTTAATTATTAAAAATTTGTTATTGTAAAATATACATGTAAGATAGTTTTTAAAAGATTTTTTTTTTTAGAGCAGTTTTAGGTTTACAGCAAAATTGAGAGGAAGGTACAGAGATTTCCCGTATATCCCTTCTTCCTGAGTGCATGGCCTCCCCCATTATCAGCATCACTCACAAGAGTGGTACATTTGTTACCAAGAATGAACCTACATTGACACATCATAATCACCCCAAGTCCATAGTTTACTTTAGAGTTCACTCTTGGTGTTGTACATTCTGTGTGTTTGGATACATGTATAATGACATATATCCATCATTATAATATCGTACAGAACATTTTCACTGCCCTAAAAATCCTCTGTGCTCTACCTACTCATTTCTCCCCACCTAACCCCTAGAGACCACTGATCTTTTTATTGTCTGTGTAGTTTTGCCTTATCCAGAATGTTATATAGTTGGAATTATACAGTATGTAGCCTTTTAAGATTGGCTTCTTTCACTTAGAAATATGCATTTAAGGTTCCTCCATGTCTTTTCATGGATTGTTAGCTCATTTCTTTTTAGCGCTGAATAATATTCCATTGTCTGGATGTACCACAGTTTATCCATTCATCTACTGAAGGACATCTTGGTTGCTTCCAAGTTTTGGCAGTTATGAGTAAAGCTGCTATAAAAATCGGTGTGCAGGATTTTGTGTGGACATAAGTATTCAGTTCCTTTGGGTAAATACCAAGGAGCATGATTGCTGGATGGTATGGTAAGATTATGTTTAGTTTTTCAAGAAACTGCCAAACTGTCTTCCAAAGTGGCTGTGTCGTTTTGCATTCCCACCAGTAATGAATGGGAGTTCCTTTTGCTCCATATCCTCACCACCATTTAGTGTTGTCAGTGTTCCAGATTTTGGCCATTCTAATACATATGTGGTGGTATCTCAGTGTTGCTTTAATTTGCATTTCTCTAATGACGTATGATGTTCAGCATCTTTTCATATGCTTATATGCCATCCATATGTCTTCTTTTTTTTTTTTTTTTCCTGAGGAATATCAGCCCTGAGCTAACATCCATGCCAATCCTCCTCCTTTGGCTGAGGAAGACTGGCCCTGAGCTAACATCTATTGTCAGTCCTCCTCCTGTTTTTTTGTTTTCTCCCAAAGCCCCAGTAGATAGTTGTATGTCATAGTTGCACATCCTTCTAGTTGCTGTACGTGGGACGCCGCCTCAGCATGGCCACAAGCGGTGGGTCAGTGCGCGCCCGGGATCCGAACCCGGGCCGCCAGTAGTGGAGCGTGCGCACTTAACCGCTAAGCCACGGGGCTGGCCCCCCATATATCTTCTTTAGTGAAGCCTCTGTTAAGATCTTTGGCCCATTTTTTAATTGAGTTGTTTGTTATTGTTGAGTTTGAAGAGTTCTTTGTATATTTTGGATAATAGTCCTTTATCAGCTGTGTCTTTTGCAAATATTTTTGCTTAGTCTGTGGCTTGTCTTCCAATTCTCTTGATATTGTCTATACAGAGCAGTTGTTTTTAATTTTAATGAAGTTCACCTTAATAATCAGTTTATTTCTTTCATGGATCATGTCTTTGGTGTTGGCATCACAATACCTAAAGTCGTGTAGGTTTTCTCCTGTGTCATCTTCTAGGAGTTTTATAGTTTTTTTGTCTTACATTTAGGTCCATGATCCATTTTGAGTTAACTTTTTTGAAGGTCTGTGTCTAGATTATTTGTTTTTGCATGTGGACATCCACTTGTTCCAGCACTATTTGTTGAAAAGCCTGTCTCTGCTCTGTTGTATTGTCTTTGCTCTTATGTCAAAGATCAGTTCACTATATTTATGGAGCTCTATTTCTGGGCTCTCTCTTTTGTTCTATTGATCTATTTGTTCTTTTGCCAATACCACACTATCTTGATTACTGTAGCTTTATGGTAAGTCTTGAAGTCGGGTACTGTCAATCTTCCAACTTTGTTGTCCTTCAGTATTATGTTGGCTATTATGGGTCTTTTATCCCTCCATATAAAATTTAGAATCAATTTGTCAATAGCCACAAATAACTTATTTGGATTTTGATTGAGATTTCCTTGAATCTATAGATCACGTTGGGAGGAACTGACATCTTGATAATATTGAATCTTCCTATCCATGAACATGGACTATCTCTCCATTTATTTAGTTTTTTTCTAATTTCATTCATCACAGTTTTATAATTTTCTTCGTGAAATCTTTTACATATTTTGTTAACTTTACACTAAGTATTTCATTTTTTGAGTGCTAATGTAAATGGTATTGTGTTTTTTTTTTTAATAATTTTATTTATATATTTTTCCCCCAAAGCCCCAGTAGATAGTTGTATGTCATAGCTGCACATCCTTCTAGTTGCTGTCTGTGGGATGCGGCCTCAGCATGGCTGGAGAAGCGGTGCGTCGGTGCACGCCCGGGATCTGAACCCGGGCTGCCAGCAGCGGAGCGCGT